TAATTTTTAAAAACTAGTAACTTAAAAATTGCCACACAAAACATTCTCCTGTCCTTCTGAAGGTTTTGTGGAACCGGGAATTGAACTCAGGCCCTTGTGACTATCAAGGAAGGGCTTATTCCACTGAGCCATCTCCCCAGCCCACCTTCTGAAGGTTTTACAGTGCATTGTTATTAACCAGTCTTTCATTATTAAATCTAAATGGCCAATTGGGGGAACGGATTGGAGACGTCTCCGGCTATTAAGACTAGAAGGGCAGGTGTTAGGGATAATATTCATTTAGCCTTCTGAGCTTTCTAGGCAGAATTAGTGACCTGGTCAACTCCAGAAGCCTTTTGTCCACTGCTTTGATGACACCCACAGCAACTATCTTGTCTTATATTGCAAATGGTGAAAAAAAACAGAGGTGGATAGTCGGAGAAGCTCTTTGAAACACATGGGCTTGCTGGGAACCGTGTCGACAAGGGCAGCATTAGCAGATTTCAACAATTTGGAACCATCTTTTGGCTTACCAGACTGGCAATCAATCTTTTCTTTCTGTTCAGCATACTGTGCACTGTGTGACAGTCCAGCACAGGGGCATAGCCAGCACTTATCTGGCTGGAATGGTTTAGGATAATCACCTGAGCAGTAGTAATTATCCCACCAGGCCTGAGCCAGCCACAAGCTGCTTCTTTGGTGGGTCATTTTTGCTGTCACCAGCAGTGTTGTCATAATGACAAATTCCATGGGGAAACAGGTGTTCTCAGGCCTTGCTCATGGAAATGCAAAATAAGAGGAATTTGCAATACCTATCAATTAAAAACTCACATACCCTTTGGCCCAAAAATACCACTGCTAGATCACCTACAATACAAAAATACACGTGTATGCAATTTATTATTGTTTGCAAAATGTCAGAAACAACCCAAGGTTCCACATGTAACAAGATGGTTGAATAAACTGATACAAAGAACAGGGCATGATGCAGTTAAAAAAAAAAGATTTCTATCAAATGATTTTTCAGGAT